AGTTCAGGAGACCTTTCTATACCATGTCCATATACTGTTCATGGTCATAGGATAATCAACTGGACATTGATAATCCACAAGGACCATTAAGCACTATATATGCTCAATTAAGAGGATGACTAGTCTCGAGTCATTCACGTGGAGACACTAAGATAAGTGTATGGGTGTTCGTTAGAGAATGAATTCACTGAACTCGATCAACATAGAGAACTTGAATGGAAGTTTTACTTACATGTCAATCAGGATCTCTCAAGTTGGAATAGTGCAAATTAGTCATTGACCTAAGGCACCACGAGTTGTCTCATGAAAGTGTCATGGGCCCTTAGCCATGTTGAAGCATTGTGTTCTTTTGGGCATAACCCAAAGATATGACTAGGGTTCATGATCAATTCATAGAGACATTTGAGTGTACAACAAGGGATTTCTATCTTCACTAAAGAAGGAGAATGCTCAGAAGATGTGATTCGAAATTCTTTGGCCAAACCAACGAGCTAGATCAATAATAGAGATTATGATCATGCTCCAATGAATCACATTAGATAGTAGATCATGCTACGGCTTCACATGAATTCCATTCCCCAATTAGCGTGATCAAGAGCATTGATTAAGAGAAGGACTATATTGCACGATAATCTCAAGTGAATAGGTTCACAGCCCCATTCTATATTGGGTTGGGCAACCGTAACATGTTAATAGACGTCACTCATGGTTTGTGAAAGCCTTGAGGACAAAGATATAATCTAGTTCTCATAAAGGGAGAATTAAAAGGGAGTTTTAATTCACAATCAATCAATAAAGAGTTTTGGATCACCCACTACCTCACTGATTAGAACCTAATAGATTGCACACCAATAAGGTTAGATGAAAGGAAATAAATATGATGTGCATAAACTTATTAATTTAATGGAGATTGAATTAATTAAGATAATGCGGTAAAAGGGTAGTTTGGGCCTAAACCATAAAATCGGGTTCAAGGCCCATTGGGCTTGGACCTATTGAGTTAGTTAAGACATGTGGACATAGTAGGATGACCACATGAGCCTAAGAGGCCTAATGAAAACCCATGGCTGGTCTTACCTAGAGGGATACTTTGGTCTCCTTCTGTGTGTCTATATAAGTGAACTTTGTCACTTGAGAAAATTAGGGTTTTTGAGCTAGTTTCAAGAGAGGAGTTAGAACACCACCTTGCTCCTCCCACCTAGCCAAAACTGGCCACCCTAGGAAGTGAGAACTAGCATCCTTTCCTTCCTAGGTTGCATCATATCCTCCATCTTCTTTGGTGTGGAAAAGTTAGAGATCACCTCCATTGGTGATTTAGTGAATCTTCAAGGCCTTTCATAAGGTGATCAACTCGAAGGATGTCAACCTTGAGTAGTGCTTCAAGGGTTAAGTTTCTCTTCTCTTTTCTCTTAGTCTAGAATGTCTAGGAGTGGAACAATCTAAACCAAACCTCAAGATTCTTGGAATTAGTTATGTTAAATCTCAAAAATTAAAATTTTAAAGCTTTTGTTGCCTAAGGTTACTTGTAACCTTGTCTTCGTGGCTAAATATAATTAGGATTTAGTATTTCCTTCAATTGGCACATTCCCCACAATTTTCACCTTCAGAGAAACACAATAATAACTTCCCAAAGGTTCACCATGTTAAACTAGATAGGCTACATATATTAAAACACTAACCTTGATCATGAGCCATTGGTGTTGCCGTGATAATTGAACTGAGAGTAACTAAGTTCCTCTACTCAGAATGATCCTTCAAGCTATAATTCTAGATGGGGTTTTGAATACCTTTTGTTGGTGTGATCGTCTGAGCAGGGACTTGATATTTAAATGCATTAGCTCAAGATTCCTATCCCATCAAGGAATATAAGAGCTATCCTAATTGCACTGGTATAAGGTGTTCTAAATGATAACTAATAAGAAACCTCATGGAACAACGATTACTGGAATAACACTACTTCTTTAGAACCAAAAAACCAATCTTAATCGAGCTATTAGTTTATACAAGGACTTAGATCTCCTATGATGATTAGAAGACCACTTACAAGTGGTATAAGACATATAAAAGTCTAAAACACCATGCACACCATGCAACATATAACGAAGCCAATGAGTTAAAACGAAATCATAGTTCTACGAACCCTAAATACATGTGAAGCCTAATGAGGATGTCCAGAGATCGTACCAAAGTGTACTCAAAGCCCAAAGTGTCATCGGAAGGCATCTGGCCCACCGAGTCAGTGAGGTCCAGGTACACAACCTTGTATTTCCAATATGGAAGTTTCTATAATTCCCTAACGATCAACTAAACACATCCTATGAGTTTGGTCACTATCCAATGGCTAGATCATCGTCGATGGCACACTCAGACGACGATTGATCAAGTAAGTTGATAATCCGTGCACAACCTTGGTAATATGATATCTGAAATATCCGGACCTCATATTTTCATTTCGTAATTATCTACGCACTCCTGATAATATGAGGAATGACATATCCCAAAATAGGGTCGATCCAACGATCCAATCATTTCTAATCGAACATACCATGTTAGGCAAAACTCTGATAATTTGTCAAATGATTGAATCTTGCAAATTCAAGTATGTCGCTGAGTCCGGGACATCAAATACAACATGGTGGGGTGAAAACAGGTCACCGCCAAGTGACTCAAGAGCCCAATGGGTTGAATAATTTTCTGGCGAAAGAAAAACTTCAAATGGATAGGCAACACCTACACCAAAATGTCAAGCATGATGATGAGGGGAGTGAATTTTATACCGTGGTCAAAGCGATATTGGATCGGATTTGGCCGGAAATTGAGAAATTTTGACATGGTGGCCGTATTTTCTTGGCTTTGATTTGCCACACACGATGGCCAAATGGGTCGGGTCTATTTTGCAATAAACGAGGTGGTCGGAGGTGGCCAAAAAACAACCGCGACAATGGGAGGGTTTATTTATTTATATTTATTATTATTATTTATTTTAAGGGCAAGGGAATGGTGAAGAAATTGAAATATTTCTATTTGTGGCGCATCTAGAGTCCCATTGCCACATTGAAATATTACAAGAAGAAATCATCACTTCCCTATAAGCATGAAAACGTGCCTATAATTTACCATCCCCTTACCCCTTAAAAATTATCGTGGCGAGCTCCACATTCTGAATGAATAACCAATTTTCAATTTGATTGATTTTTTTAGTAGCATGAATGATCCATGAAATTGAATCTATTTTTTTTTTAAGACAAAAATAAAATCCTTTAACAATCCAATAAGCATTACAAAGTAAGCAGCATGTTAACAATGATCTCGTTAAAACTTTCCCAGGGAAAAAACTCCAGGATAGGAAAGAGTACCACACATGCTACAGATTAACAGAAGATTCAAATCAAGAATACAAAATAGTGTTATGTTTCCTCTTTAGATCGGTGCACTAGATACTAATTTATATCAGGTTTTGATAAGTTTAAATTAAGTTATGCCTTGAGGCCCAAAATCTTGTGGAATAAGGAAAGGTTTTGAAGCCTATTAAGGGGTCCTATTTATTTCCTTTTTTACAACCGTTTTGGTGGGCTTGGAAGATTAGTCAAGTCGGCCCTCGGTGATGAGTAGAGACGACTTGCCCTAAACCTATATAAGCTTAAGGCCCTGCTTTCATCAGACACGTTCTCTAACCCTAATCTCATCATAAAGAGAGAGCTTAAACAAATTTGAGAGAGAACAGAAGTCTTGAGCCGTTCCTGTTCTTGCTGGGATTATTGCGGCTACAGTTGAATGAGTTCAGAGGTTGTGTACTCAAGAAAGATGGCGCCAGGTATGTCTTTACGTATTTTAGATTGTGTGAAAGATCCTAAGCACGTATATAAAGATATCTAACAGTTGGTATCAGAGCACATGGTCATTCACACACACTAAAATCGTTGTTCAAGCATGCCTATTACAATTTCTTATCTGTTTATGCCATGATGACTTTTTGGTTATGTTTAAAATTTGAGGATGGATTAAACATGTTTTCTAAAATATCAAGAATATTAAAGAATCTGGAAAAGCATGTTTTAATTTTTCTTTTCATATTTTCAAAACTTTAAACAAGTTTTTGACATACTAGATGACCTTAAAACCCTAAAATGCCCATATGTCACGGCAAATCCGTGAGTTGTGTTAATTAGGTTATTCCTTGTTCAGAAGGTATTTTGCGTCAAAAATGGACACTAAAAACCCCTAAAACATTGTTCACGGCAATTTTTACTATTCACTACAATTTGGGGTTTTCTCTCTTTAACTGTGTTTGTTTGGTTATTTTCTAAGCTAGATAGGTGCTTGTCTTTGTTCGAGAATCAACAATTTTTTCATAACAAAACCAAACCTAAATACTCAAACCCTAAAGAAATAACCTAAATGCATCATACCTAAATTGCTTGATAAGTTTCTTCAACAAATAGAATCTATCTTGTAATTTGTTTATGATGGCACAAACACGTAATTTGAGTAAACTATAAGTAATCTCTTGCCACAAAGGTGTGATACTTAATTAAGGAAGCTTGCATATGTTATTTGTTAATTTGTGAATAAGTTAAAAGGAAAAACTACTTTATCTTAACAAATTGAGAATTGGTTTCTTGGAAAGTAATTATGCTTTCTTTTGCAAATCCTTATAGGTTTGAACACTCCCTCAATCAATTTCTTGCAAATTGAAACTCTCACTAGTTCAAATTTCAAACGATGGAAGTTCAATCTTGAAGTTGCATTAGGCATGAGTGATATCGATTATGCTGTCACCCAAGATGAGCCGACCAGACCCGTTGCGAATTCCCCTACTGAAGCTAAAACGGTTGCATGAAGCTTGGAGGATGGCGAATAAGATTTGTATGTTGGTTATGAAGAAGACTATTATGGAAGCTATTTTTGGTGGAATTCCATAAATAGAAAGTGCCAAGCAGTTTATGGAATCCATTGAAAGGAAATTTAAGGAATCTGGTAAGGCTGAAATAAAGAACCTCATGTCTAGGCTGGCTAATACGAATTATGAAGGAGGTAGCATAAGAGAACATCTCATGGGACTTGTGGATATTGCTGCCAAATTGAACAGGTTGAAAGTACCTATTGATCCAACTTATCTAGTGCATATTGAGCTGGATTCTCTACCTCATGAGCAAATGAAATCCACCTATAACACCCTGAAAGAGGATTGGACAATGGATAACCTGATTACAATTACTGTTCTTGAGGAGGATAGGATAAAAGCTTATGGCGGTGTGGTTAACGTGGTCACTGCCAGGAAGTATGAGAATAAGGGTGCTGCAAAATCGGGAATAAAGAAGTAGAGTCAGTCTCAAAAGAACAACCCTCTTGGCGTGACCCCTACCACTAAATTCAAGTGCTATTTTTGCCAGAAGGAAGGTCACATGAAGAAGAACTGCAACAATTACAAGAAGTGGTTCGAGAAGAACAAGACCAAAGGTAATAAAGAATTAGTCTTAGTGACTTCTGAGTCTAATTTAGTGGATGTTCCTTCTAATTCTTGGCAGTTATACACGGCAGCCTCGATTCATATATCTCATAATGTGCAGGAATTCACAAGAAGGAGGGAACCAAGAAAGCATGAAGTTAAAGTGTTCGTGGGGAATGAAAAGCAAGTAGATGTGGAAGCCATATGAGTAGAACACCTGAAATTGGATTCAGGATTTATTTTAGAGTTGGATGATGTAGTTTTAGTACCCTCAATGACGAGGAATTTGATTTATGTTTCAAGATTATCAAGACTTGGTTTTGTTTTTCAATTCAATAAAGATGGTTTTGCATTATCTTAGAATTCAAATGTTCTTGCTACTGGTTTTCTCTTAAATGGATTATACTGTCTCAATTACAATAAAGGGGGTGAAGTTTTAATGGCTGAATCGAGAGAGAAAATGATTATTAGTGAAGGAAAATCTACTAGGTTATGGCATAGACGTTTACGGCACATTTTAAAAGAAAGAATGAAAATTCTTGTTAAGGGCCATCACTGACTTTCGGTGATGACAAAATTTGTATTGAATGTGTTAAAGGAAAACTCACTAAGATGAGCTGGGCCTTTTGAAATTTGGACTACCAGGAAGCCTAGCCTTCATGTATAGGGTTGCAAGGCTGAAGCTAGAATCTATAACCCTTAAGAGAAGAAGCTTGATTCTAAAACGATTAGCTGTCATTTTATTGGTTACCCCCGCAAGGTCAAAGGGTTTTAGATTTTACTGTCAAAATTATGGTACCCGAATTGTTGAGACTGGTTGTGTAAAGTTTATAAAGTATGAGGAGAATGCTACTGGGAATGAAGATTTTATTTTTGAAGAAGAAGGGGATGTAGCTGTGATCGAGAATGATGAACAAGATGTTACACCCTTGATTCCTTTAAGTGAAACTATATGGAACCTCATCAATTTGAAGAACAAGTTGATTAACAAGAACAAGTTGTCTAGAATCCTAAGCTGGATAATCCACAAGAACCAATACAACTGAGAAGATTTGACATACCAAGAAGATCCGTAGCAAATTCAGATTATGTGTACTTACAAGAAGCAGATTTTGACATTGGAGATGAGGCTAATCCAACAAGTTTTAAAGACGCTATGGTGAATTAGAATGCAGACAAATGGAGGGAAGCAATGTTGAATGAACTCGAAAGAATGAAGAATAGTCAAGTATGGGAATTAGTTGAACCTCACAAGAGCTAGATATTGGTAGGCTCGAATGGGGTATTTAAAACAAAGAAGGATAATGATGGAAGAATCGAAAGATTTAAGGCTAGATTGGTACAAAAAAATTCACCCAAATGGAGGGAATTGACTACACTGAGATGTTTTCTCTGGTTTCCACAAAAGATTCTTTCTGCATCATTATGGCTTTGGTGGCGCATTATGACCTACTTTTACATCAAATGGATGTAAAAACTGCTTTCATGAATGGTGAACTCCAAGAAGAAAATTTTATGAGGCAACCTGAAGGGTTTGCAAAGGAGGGAAAATAGCATATGGTTTGCCAACTTAACAAGACAATTTATGGACTGATACAAGCAAGTAGGAGGTGGTATTCCAAATTCCATAAAACTGTTCATCTTATGGTTTTGAAGAGAACATAGCCGATCAATACATTTATCTAAAGAAGTGTGGGAGCCGATTTATTTTTCTAACGCTGTATGTTAAGATGAAGGATTTGGGAGAAGCTGCTTTTATGTTAGGCAATGAAATTTAAAGAGACCGAGCTCGAGGCCTCCTAGGCTTGTCGTAGAAAACATATATTGAAAGGATACTCAAGCGTTTTGACATAAGTACGTGTTCTGGACAGAAAGTTCCGTTAGGAGATTTAAAGAAGGAGCATTGCCCTAAGAATAAAGAAGAAGATGATGAAATGAGGAACAAGTCGTACGCTGCTCTAGTTGGAAGTATTATGTATGCATAAGTGTGTACATGGTCAAACCTAGCCTTGTGCATTAGCAAGATGGAGAGATTTCAGTCAAATCCGGGAATGCAACACCGGATAGCTGGAAAGAAGATTATGAGGTACCTACAGAGAACAAAGACTTTTGTGTTGATTTCCAGACACACAAAGAATTTAGGGCTTGTTGGTTATATTGATGCTAATCTTGAAAAGACAGAGGATGATCACATCTCTACTTCAGGTTTTCTTTTGAAGATGGCAGGAGCAGCTGTTGCTTGGAAGAGTGCTAAACAATCTGGTGTTTCGAGTTTAACCATGTTTTCAGAATACATAGCTTGCTATGAAGCCACTTCTCATGTAGTATGGCTAAGGAATTTTATTAAAGACATTAAGGTGGTGGACTCGATTTCTAGACCAAGACAGATATATAATGACAACATTGCGACTGTTTTTCACTACATGAACAACAATATGTCGTTTGGACTTCAGCATATTGACATAAAATATTTAATAGTGAGGGAGAAGGTAGCGGACAAACTAGTCAGGTTTGATCATATTAGAACTCAAGATATGATTGCAGATCCGTTCACAAAGTTTTTGCCCTCAAAAGCTTTTCTGAGACATATTGAGAGTATGTGATTATTTCCTAGCTTTGATGCTGCAATCTAGTGGGAGCCCTGTTTCATTTCTGATATTTACTTGTTTGTTTATTTTGATGTTTTCTGGATTAGGGATTTGCATTTAAGGATGTTAATTTGGTTGACAGTTTTATTTATTATTGAATAAATTCTACCATTTTGACTATTTAGCTGTTTAAACTTATAATGCAATTTGTTTATGCATATGAGTTTATGGTCTCTTTTGAGATACTACTGTGTTAATAACATTGCGGATTGACTCTTGCTAAATCGTAAAGGGATACATGTACTGAAAAGCATAAAGATTCACATTACATATCAGTACATATTAAGATTCGCATTGGTAGGTGCTTCATGTGTTTTGAGATTGCATTATGTGATTATAGATGACCTGGTTTTAATAAAGAGAGTAGTGCTTGTCTATAGTTCGTTTTGTCTAATTGCTTTTCACTATAGCTTGAAGGGAATGACTTAACTGTTTTAAACTCATGGCCAATAAAGATTATCAAACCTTTTGGAATACAGAAGCTTAGTGCTTTAGTGCTTGATCTAGTGGGAGCATGTTATGTTTCCTATTTAGATCGGTGCACTAGATTCGAAGTTATATAAGGTTTTGATAAGAGTTTAAATTAAGTTATGCCTTGAGGCTCAAAACCTTGTGGAAGAAGGAAAGGTTTTGAAGCCTATTGAGGGGTCCTATTTATTTCCTTTTTTGCTTGAACCATTTTGGTAGGCTTGGAAGATTAGTCAAGTCGGCCCTCGGTGATGAGTAGAGACGACTTGACCTAGCCCTATATAAGCTTAAGGCTCTGCTCTCATCAGACACTTTCTCTAACCCTAATCTCATCATAAAGAGAGAGGTGAAACAGATCTAAGAGAGAGCAAAAGTCTTGAGCCGTTCCTGTTGTTGCTGAGATTATTTGTTGCTATGGTTGAATGAGTTCAGATGTCATGTACTCAAGAAAGATGGCACCAGGTATGTCTTTACATATTTCAGATTGTGTGAAAGATCCTAAACTGTATATAAAGAAATCTAACAAATAGGACAATCATCTCTAATACCATTCTAGCACACCATCAACATTAAACTTAAACGAACCCTTTACGAAGAAGACTCCAACGCTTCTTATTAAAATCATATTCTTTTGCACAACGTAAGATTTGTTCAGCATGCATTGGGTCATAATCAAATAGAACACCATGTCGATCAATTCACAAGAATTATAACACAAAAACATATAAGGCTGTAAGTGGGCAGAAAAACTCAGTTCAATGCCAATGTCACAAATTGACCACCTCCATTTGGAGACGAAAACCACATATTGCAACCCATCAACGATTACCAACCAAAAATAGAATATCCAGATATTAGATATGCCAAAACACCAATTCTTCTAGGCAAAAAACCAAGGAGAAGCCAACCACACAAATTAGAAGTAATCTGGAAACTCCAAACCTGCAAAACAAAAAAACAAAGAGGGAAAAAGGAAGGAGGTGGGGGAGAGAAGGGATGGAAGGAAAGGAAACGAGTAGGAGAGGTGAGGGAAGGAAAAGGGAAGGGAAAATAGGACAATGGAGGGGAGGGAAAGAGCGGAGGGGAGACTCCCTAACATATAGGTTTTTCAAAACCTCAATTCTCTCTCCTCGCGTAAGCAAGAGAGCGACCCTCAATTATATGGCAAATAAAAAAAAACCTTTGATATTTTGAAATTGAATCATTTCGATTAACATAAACTATTAGAGCATCTCCAACATTAGTAGCAATAAAACTCTTCAATTGAAGTTTGTTGACCTACGTGGCAATTTGAAAAGCCTTATTTACTACTTTGATATTTTGTGCCCCATCAGACTCTTTAATTCAATTAATACAATATTTGACTTAAACAATAATAATTAATAACATTTTTTGTTAAAGATAACATTCTAGAAAATAAATAATATTTAATTAAAACTAAATCCCCTTCCCAGTATTTCCTATTAACGATGACGATTGTACTCATCAAGATGAGGAGGCATTTCATTGGTATTCAATGATATGATTGTTTCATCTTCCCTCTTCTCATCAGCTTCCAACTTTTTGTCGTTTTGTTCCAAACTCTTTTTTCCATAATTCCATCTTTTTTTCTTCAACAAATTTTTTTTTCCAACCTTTGTTGTTTTTCTTTTGTTTTTGAACTTTTTCATACATCACTGAAATTGAGTTTTCACAGGCTCACTTGCTTGTTCAAATTTTATTTGGCCTTTTATGGTGTTCTAAGCAATTACTGTAACATAATCATGATGATATTAAATTTTAATACCAGCAAAGTCATATTGTTTAGATTTTGTTTGGCCTTTTAACATGATTACCCAAAGTCATATTGGATAAACCAACAACCAAACGTGATTCATTTTTTTCTTTTTTCTTTTTAATGTGAGCAAAGTTATTTTGCAGTTAACTAAAATAATATATTTATCCAATATGATAAATAAAAAATGATATTAAATTTTAAAAGTAGTTGTACATCAAACCCAACAAGTAAAATAAATATTTTAACCATTTTTCATATGATTTTGATTCTTCCAAAGCAAAATAAATGTTTTGAAGAGCTAAGGTTAACTTAACATCTTAAAGAGAGAGAAAGAGGTCACAGCTTTGATGATTGAGGTTGAAGAGGCTATTGGAGAGAGGTTTTTTGATGTGGCTCACCTTTTTAAAATTCCAAAGCTGTTGAAGAGGTTTGTTTGAAATGCTCTTTACATAATGAAAATGAGAGGGTATAAAGAAAAATGAAGTAGCATTTTCCAAGTATCAAAGTCTATTTAATAGATTCAACAACAAAAAAAGTCTAGAGTGCTACTATTTCCACCCCCTCTCCTATTTTCCCACTCACCTTATCTTCAAAATTTTAAATACAAATTTACCCATATGTAAAATAACTTCTAAGGATCTAAGGAAAAAACCTCACCACATAACCCATCTATTTTTTTTTGTTAAAGCGTTGAAAAATTTCATTCAAAACGAATGCTAATAATGTTTACATCCTCAACTAGGATATTAAAAGCCACTAAGTACCCACAAAATCCCAAATACTTGTCTAAACACAAAACTTGGAACAACATATGTTTCCCGCCCTATTGCATCGACGGGGAGCAAACGCAAACACCTCTAGTAAAGAAACCAATTGTCCTATTAAACTAAGAAACCAACTATCGAATGTCAAAAATAATCCCTTCTATATTAGCATCAATTTCTACCTCCCCATTCAGCATCAATAACACATCTCTAGTAAAGAATGAATGAACTCAAAAGTTATGAAAAAATAAGGAAACATAGAAACCCCATTTGCAGTAGTAGAAGACAATGTTATATTCCTATTTAAAATGGTGCGCTAGATACTAAGTTATATCAGGTTTGATAAGAGTTTAAATTAGGTTATACCTTGGGGCCCAAAACTTTGTGAAATAAGGAAAGTTTTGAAGCCAATTAAAGGGGTCCTATTTATTTCCTTTTGCATGAACCGTTGCTTGATGGGCTTAGAGTGTTAGTCAAGTCGTCCCTTATTGATGAGTAGAGACGACTTGACCTAGCCCTATATAAGCTTAAGACTCTGCTCTCGTTAGATATGTTCTCATACCCAAATCTCATCATAAAGAGAGAGTAAAAGTCTTAAGTCGTTCGTGTCTTTTGCTCGTACTGTTGCTACTGCGACTGAATGAGTTCTGAGATCGTGTACTCAAGGAAGATGACATCAAGTATGTCTTCTAAGTATTTTAGGTTGTGTGAAAGATCATGAACACATGTATGAAATCTAACAGACAAACCCTTTCAATTCCTCCATACTCACATAGCTCTTCCTTACCATCAACCCTTTTCTTCCTTGTGGCCACCGATTTACTCCCTCTCGAATTTAACAAAACCCCATTCACTTTTGACCAACACTTCACTAACGGGTCCATCTCAAGTGTCGATGGAAGGCTTGATGGTGGCTTGCGGTTCTCTTTTCTCAACATAGAGGAGAAATTAGGCACTGACTGAGCCGTGCCAGAGGACCCTGTACTTCATTTGGTCGTATTGGTGTGAAATTTGACTTGTTTCTTCAACGGGCTCAGTTTCAATTCAGGTTCTTCAGCCTCTTCTAGCCTCAGATGTTATAAAAATTATAGTTTTCCTTTTTTGTAAAGCCAAATACAAAAACCTTTATATTATAAATAACATATAAACAAATTGGAAAGCTTTTAAGGTACAATGAAACTGAAGAAAATTAAATTGATAGGTAAGTAAAAGCAAAATAAATTATAAGAAGGTGAGCTCGGTACCGTGGCGGTCTACAGGACTCCAAGATACGACCACTTGTACACAAGCTCAAATCTGCTATGAGCACTTCATAGACGGATATAGGTATCCAAGTCACAATAACCATTCCCTAAAATAATAATATAAGTAGAGAAAGTATAAAAAGTATAAGAGGAGATAATCAAATTGCGGTGATGATTGTGGTATGTAATATTCTGATGATGTATTGTGGTTGTTTAAATGTGAAGAAGGAGTGGCCTTTTATAGGCATCCAATAACATGTAACATTCACCATATTAAACTAGAAAATTAAGGCATTCAATATAGAAATAAAATCTGAAAATTAAATATTTATAACCCCCACAATAAATAAAATAAAACAGCCAAAATAATTAAATAATTCAAAAAGGTTAAAATTTTAAAACCTTTTTAAAATTCCAACATCAGATACTTTCTTTGCAGCTTTGAATCAAAAGCTCCACGTAGGCTTTGTATTTGGGTCCTCTCTCCATGATGTAGCTCTATGTGATGAGCCACAGAGGGACTAGCTCTTGATCTTGTTTTGGGTTCTGGGAGACAATGAGGGAGATGGGGTCAAGGGCTTGGAAGAGATATTGAAAAGCAGGGTTTGGTTGATGATGGTTTTGGTGCAGAGAGCCCTTAGTGACTGCCATTATTGATGAATTTGAGGTGTGTACAGAGATTTTGGGTTTTGGTTGATTTAA